ACTTATGTAACGAAATATATTTTGAATAAATCGTACAAAAACATGTAAGAAAATCATTCTATATGCATGTTTTATATTACATATTACATTTACAATATTTAAAAAAAATATATATATATATACATAAAATATATCGTACAAAAAAATGTAACAAAATCGTTCTATAGGAAAATTTAAAATATAAAATTTAAATATATGCCCAGTAGACAATAAAATGAAATCGTACAAAAACATGTAACACAAGCCTTCTATATACATGTTTTATTAATAGTAGTTCACTATATGCGAGGAGTAAATGTGCCATTGCCTATTGCTATATCAATTGTTATATCATATATGTATATTTATATCAATGGCATGTTTTGTATACGTATATGGTATATTTATATCAATGGCATATTGTGTAATTACTCTAGTTAACTAAGGTCTTTTAGTTTAAAGGGGTGAGAAGGCTTGTGGAGTTGCCACATAGGAAATGACATGGTTGTAATAAACACATGAAATAAAGGTTTCTTTTTAAAAGTTCTCCTCAAATAATAAGAAGGGGATATTTGTTTCTAAACATATGCTTATATAGCTATATATATGATACAAATCTAAAATAAATAAAAGCAAAAGTTTTTTACTATGCATAAATTTAATAAAAACAATAGATTTTGGGTTAATGATTTAATAAACTAAAATAAAGAAAATATATTATCTATATTATCTTATAAAGTTATTGAAACTTAATATCTTTTCTTTAAATAGAAAATATAACTTAAAGATTTCTTTTCTTAAAATAAAATTAATAATAATATCATCAAATTGAAAGAAAAAATTAATTAGTTTCAATAACTTTATAAGAAGAAATTCTTTCTCAGCGCTACTGATTACACCAATTGGTAAACTCAGTCTCATAGATTTGTGGAGAGCCAAATCTTCTTGGTTAGTATAGCTTAAGACCTTTTGGCATTACTTGTCTGCATACTATCTCCATGGACTTGTTTGTACCTTCTTTTGATAAAAAGTCTTGGACCCTGAGAGGAATTATTATGGCTTTATGAGCTTTGCGTGTGCTTTATTTGTGTTTGCCATATGATTACTTATGTTAATACAGTTTGTTGCCACAGTAAACTAAACAAAAACATTTCCGCACTGGGAGTCGAACCTAGATTTCAAGAGATTGATCGAATCCTCTATGTATTATTTGAGAGCATTATAACATGTTTTGATAGCCACGTGTCATCATGAGAATGCTTCTCAAATTTACTAGAGAAAAATATTAGTCCATATAAACATATAATATACTTTTTATTAAATTAAACATAAAACTATTATCAATACTATTCATTATTTCCTTAAATAAAAGTTACGGAATTACCTAATATGGTTATGATATATATGACAATTAATGATTTGAATATGAAGATTTGATATAGCATCTACTATTTTGTTAAATTTATATTATGAAATAAATTAAACACTAACATTAATTATATAACAAAAATAGTTTTTTTATATGTTATATTTTCAATTTTTAAAACGACTATAAATTAATAAAAAATTTTAAAATTCCACATATAATATTTTGATTAATATTTTAAATCTTCTATATATTAACCATGGAGCATTATAACATTTTTTTAAAACCATGTGTCACAATGAGAATGATTTTCATAACTTTTAGAGAAATATGTTACTCCAACTAAACATATGTTATGTATTTTTATTTTACTAACTATCATATTTAATTAGTAGTGTACAAAAGAATATTCGTTATTCTTTCCTTGAATAAAAGCTACGGAATTACCTAATATGACTAACATATATATACGACAATAAATTTTTATAAATAATAAAGATTTGATAACAATTTTTTATCTTCTTTACTTTTTATTTAATTTTATATTATTAAAAGAAATTAAAAACTACATTAATCATATAATAAAAAAAATTATATTTGTTCTTATATGTTACATTTTGATTTTTTTAAAACGATCATAAATTACTAAAAAGGGTAAAATCTCACATTGAAAATTTTGTGATCAGTGATAAGGTTTTTTAGTTCAGCCAATCGTTTTTCTAATGGGTCTTAAACAGTTTATAATGATTAACTAAATGGATCACACACAATTTTGCTTACCCAAAATCAATATGAACCATCATTCTTTTCATTTAAACTTTTGGTATAATAAAAAAAAATATATGATTGGGCAAAAAAAACTTAATCCAAACTGAATCAAATCTAATCCAAAAAGTAGTACAAATTTTTAACCAAAATTGATTAGATATCCAAACGATTTGAAATTTTAGTATCTAAATAACCAAAACTGAATCGATATATTTCAGATATATGAGTGGACTCAAAGCAAATTTATATACTTAAATATATTAATTATTTTTAAATTTAACATCTAAGAATATGAAAAATACATATTAAACTTTTCCAAAATACTTAGAAATATATAAAACAGTTAAATGAAAATTTTAAAAATAGATAAATGATACTCCAAATACCAAAAATATTTGAAATATTTATTGATTTTTTGTCCAAATATTTATGATAAACCAATTTATGTTAAGTTTAAGTATTTTGGCATTCATTTTTCAAATTTATATGTTATATATTATTTTTACTTTTAGATTTTAAAAAATTTAAAGTATATATGAATTTTAATATTTTTTATTAAAAAACAAATGAGCTATCCGAACCTAAACCCAACCTTAACATGCAAAAACTCGAAACAAACCGCAAAGATCTAAACCAAACAAAATCTAACCGAACCAAATGGTATTCAAATGATATCCAAATGCTCATCCCTAATCAAATATAAAAAAGGTTATTGATAGTAAAATATATATTTAAATACAACATATTTTAAAAAAATTCACTCTATGCATGGCGCGGGTTATCATCTAGTGATTTTAGTAAATTTGTTGAAATAGACCGGTGTGCTACAACGGATCTGACTGCTATTCAATGAGGACAAACATATTTATTTACTAAAAACATGAATGGGTCTTTAGACTTATTCCACTCAACCATACTTTAAAAAAAAGAATTCGACAAAAAAACTCATCCTTTACATGAATTGCGAAAACAAATACGAACATATTGATTGGTCAAAAAAACATTGAACTATATTTGACTTTTAAACATGCCAATTAAACACGCCGTTAGTAAACTGAACAAAATGATTGAACGATGTTTGCTAAGGTCGTTAAATAAAACGACGTCGTTTTAAGATGAGAATAAACAACATCGTTTTACCTAGTTTTATTATCAAAAAAATGTTGAGAACTCATAGCCAAATTACGAGGTTTTTTACCACTGTGCTAGTGGTACCTTTAAGGAAATCTCTAACATGGTTTCTTTTATTGAGTATCGAAAAATTCTAAATTCTTTTTTAAAACTTCCAAAATACGTAAAAATTCAAGAAAATTCTGAAAAGGTAAAATTAAAATTGAAATTACAAATAAGTTTTTTTGTTCAAAAAATAAAACATTAAAATTTCAAAAAAAAATCTAAAATAATTTAAATAAATGCAACAAATTTAATTTAATGATTAAAAAATTTGAAACCTATTTTATATAAATTAATGTATGGATTTTATCTCAAATATATTAATTTATAAAAAATGTCTTAAATTTTAAAAAATAAAAAATCTAAAAATTTCCAATGCAAAAAATTAAAATTAATGATTAAAATAATTTGAAAACTCTTATATAAATGAATGCATGTAAGATAATATGCAAAATTATATTTATCACACTATAATTTTTGTACGATTATTGTTTTTGAAATAAAATACACAAATGATCTTAGATACATTAATTTTAATAAAAAAATATTTTTAAAATATTTTATTCATTAGTTTTTTATGTCATCTTTTTCATCATTAGCTTTTCGCATTTTTGGATTTTTTAGATTTTATGAATTTTTTTTGATAAATTTTAGCGAAAAATTAAATTTTATTTGTAATTTAATTTTTTTGTTTAAATATTTTCAGAATTTTTCTTGATTTTTTGAATTTTATAAAATTTTAAGCTTTTTAAAGATTTTTTGGATACTCAATAAAAGGAAATATGTTAGAGATTTCATTAGAAGTACCGTTAGTTCAGTGGCTCAAGACTATGTTGTTTGGCTTTGAGTTCGAGTTTTGATATAGACATGTTTTTTATTTTGAAAGCATACAAAACGATGTCGTTTCATTTAACGTTAAAATAATGGTGTCTACACCGTAAGATCCCAATGTGCTAAATGACGAATCAATGATAAGTTTTCAAATAAAATTAAAAAATCAAAGAAAATACAGTATTTTTTGGTCAGTTTCGAATTCAAATTTTATTTGGCAATTTGTGTAAAGTTCGTGTTTTTTTTACCGAATTCTTCTTAAAAAACATTGGGCCAAAAGGCGTAAAAACCCATACTATCCTCACTGCAAAAAATAGGTAACTATTATTGCTACTATTATGTCTTTGACGTTTGTATAAGAGAATTGTTCCTGTTTAGGGAGGAGTTAAGTTCAGTTTGATGCTTACAGTTTGCATGAACTGGTCATTCCAAGAACTTGGAGAATGCAAACAAATCTTCTGTTCTGAATCAGAGCTGCCTTTGTTGTTTGTAGATACCATTGGTTGGAACATGTAAGAGAGAGCATCAATAGTGAAAGGGAAGCAAAGGTTGCACATGCCAAGTCCAAGTGTCGGATTTTTTAAAGGGACCAAAGGTGAATAAATGTAGCTGTTACTCTCTGTGGAAGAGAGTATTTGCTTCTAAACTGAGCTGCTATGAGTTTCTCTAATGAATGAATGAGAGAAGTAGTGATGATATATAGACTATGATCTCAAGGAATAGATAAACCTGATTTGGATACTAATTCCTGATATAAAAATGATACAACCCTTTTTTAAGTTACATCTCTTACTTTACAGAAACTGCAAAAGGTAAAAAGAAAAAAATTTAAAGATAGTATAACTAATCAGATCCTACTCTAGTGGTTAGTGATCTATATGCTTCACTCTGTTAAAGTATATGGATTGTCACATATACATTCATGAGGATTGGCATAGAAGTAATCTTCTTCCTTTGGTTTATCAGAGATTACTTTCCTATGTGTTGGTTCTCCCATACGTCTTCCCTCATGAGCCTCCTTGACAGATACTGCAAACTGTTCCCATGAGAGTGTCTTGTTGTTATGCAAGTCCAAAAGCTCCACAAGTCTTTTCCGGTTTAGCAATATTGTTTTCTTAAACCCAAAATATCTTTCCAAAAAAAAAAAAGCTCATTTCAATAATCTTACTTGAGACTTTTAGTAAACATTTTGATTTAGGTAAAGTACCTTCTATGACCTTCAACAACTTTAGCCATGTTTCCATAGTAAGTAGGAATAAAAGTGTCACTAGCTACAGATACAATGAAGTCTAGAGCTGCCATTTGTGATGAATGGTTCTGAAACCGTTGCAGTTCCGTTGGATCTAATAGCATTTCTTTTTTCACCTGACAACACATATGATTTATTATTTTGAAAGTATATTATTTGATGAAAGTGTGACAGAAAAAAAAAACTCACAATTCTTGGGAATGATTTCTTTAAAAGAGCTAATCTCCTCTCACCACCGTAAATATCACCAGCTGCAATGTATATCTGTGTATCCTTATGGAACCCTAATGCTTTTAGAACCAAAACAGTCTCTTCAGGTGTCAATGGACAACGTCCTTGCACTCTTCTCTCTTTAGAGACAATCTCTTTCTCTTTCCACCAAGGATATGCATACCTAGAAAGAGAACCATAAAAATCAAGATTCTAAGCAGAGTATCAAAGCTAGAATAGTATGTTATACCTCATCTTTTTGAGCTCTTCAGCTTCTTCTTCAGTGCAACCATGAGTGCAGCCAGAGAAAGCCAACATATCCATCTCATATCTCAAATGCAAAGCCACAAACGGCCCTCTTTGATTGAGAATACTAACTAATTTTGCTCCCAAAGCCTCGATCCTTGGAGTGAATCTCAGTCCTTGAAAGTTCACACGGCATCTCAGCCTCTGGAGATGGAGAGAAAGACCGTTGTTGGCTAATCTCGTATCACTCCTGTTGAAATGTATAACTTTATGTTTCCTGAAACGCGGTAACAGCTGAAAACAAGAAACTTAAACTCAATCAAAACACCAGATCATTCATTCATAAGCAAATGAAAAAAAATGAAGAACTAATTAAACCTTGTGCAAGTAGTAATTCTCGTTTGACCAGCTCACTGGTGGCATTTGGAACTGTTTGTGTCTGCGGTAACGTTTAGGAAGCTTCCTTATGATCCTTACTTCATCTCTTAATGAATTAATGAAATTGTTTATATCAAAAACATCCTCAAAGTCACTGCACAAAGTGAAACCAAAGATGGTTTTTAAAATTACTATTTACTAAGACACACCAACACAGATACAAAAGTGAGAAAAAACCTTGGATCAGCCCAGAAAGATTTCTTATCAAGCTCTGGAACAACAAGTGTCAAGTTCAATAGTCTAGCAATTGTCACCATATCACAAATCTGAAAACAACAAAACAAACAAAGCCTCAAACCCTAAATCTGCAAATAAGAGAGTAAGAGAGTGTTACAAACCGCTGCACGCATTTGATTCAAACCGCCATTACAAGACACTCTTAAAATCCCATTGCTTGTATAGTTTCCTACAAAGATGATCACTTTCTTTAAACCCTAAAGCACCACATCAAACCCAAAATACCAAGAAAACATAAACACTCACTTTTAGGAGGAAGAAGCGGCAAACGAACCGGTTTGACCGGAAGTGAGGACCGGGTAATGTGATTGGTTAAACCGGTGAAGATTCCGGAATGCACGAAGAGCTGAAACAAGCAAATCCAAACCAAAATGCTCGAGCAGACTCTTAAGAACCAAACTCGTGATCCAGTTTTTGTAACTCTTGGACTCGGTTGCTTATGAGTACTCTCCGATCTAATTTGAATCTCCATCTATCTCCAACCACCTTCATCGGAGAAAAACTTTACGATTATTACTATTATAACCATATCGATTTTTTTTTTGTGTGTGTGGGATTCTCGAACCAGAGAGACAAAACACCTTACACTTTGGTCCTAATAAGAAAACAGATACAACTTTTCAAGTTTCTATGACTATTTCTTTTTCTTCGGGTGATAATTTTCCCGAGAAAATCACAGACTTTGGAAGAAGACTTCAAAATTTTCAGAATCCAAACAGCTCGAACTTATCGGAGAGTTTGGTCATACCATCATTATCTCTGCCGCTATTTAAATATTTTAAAGTAATCATTTAAAAGCCCAACTAAAATCTCTATAATATTATTTGAGAAGTCAGTTTCCTACGTGTCGCGCTCACGTTAATTCTCACGATGGTTGATTACTTAGATACCCTTAATGAATTTTTAGATTTTATGATTATTTTTTTATTTAGTTTATTTTTTACCCTTTTCCAAATAACATATATAATAAAAGTAAATATTTCTAAACTATTTTAAAAAATTAAAAACGAATATACATGTATATAATATAACTTTTTTAAAAAAAGAAAGTTCACAAAATAGTAATACCCCCATTAATATATATTTTTAAACAACATAAAAATATATTTTCAAAATAATAAAAATATATATGTTCATGAACATCCAAAAATTTATCAGTTACACTTTATTTTCTAATATTTTTTAGAAATCAACATATAATTTGATAAATATTATGAAAATATATGTATATTTACAAAATAGTAATACCCCCATTAATATATATTTTTAAATAACATAAAAATATATTTTCAAAATAATAAAAATATATATGCTCATGAACATCCAAAAATTTATCAGTTACACTTTATTTTCTAATATTTTTAAGAAATCAACAGATAATTTGATAAATATTATGAAAATATATGTATATTTAAGCGATAAATAAAACTAATTTGATTTGGTTTAACTAAAATAAAGATTAAATAAATATTATGAAAATACATGTATATTTAAGCAATAAATAAAACTAACTTGATTTGACTTAACTAAAATAAAAAGTAACTATACTTCAATTTTAATTTAAAAATATGTTTAACTCAATATACTCACAAAATAAATGACTCGGCTAATCTAATTTATATCCAAAATTAGACATCTAACTACAATAAGAACATATAATTTTATAATAATAATAGTAGTGATAATAATCTATTCAATTTTAGACATATAAGCATATTCAAAAGAAAAAGAAATATTAACCCATTACAATTTAATTCTTTTTAGCATTTATGTATATGCATGAGATTTCAAAATATTTATCATTATATTTATTTATGTAATTATGAATCAAACACTGCAGCTTATTATTTATTTCATTTTAAGCACAACATATATTAAGTTATACATAATTTAACTATAATATATTTACATTTCTAAGAATATATTTACATATCTTTTTTTGGTCAAAAAATATATTTACATATCTAAATACAATAACCTACCGAAATGAAAATAGGAAAATTAATCAAAATTTTATTATATTTAGAATACAAAATATTATAGCTGAATTCGAAAAAGTAGATATTATCAAATATACCGAATTGATAACCAAACCTACTATTGATCCAAAAAGTAACTAAACCGACAATAATATATCTATATTCATATGTATAATTAGAATAATATAATATTTATTAATATAAATTATACATATAAATTGATTCAAAACTAAAATTAAATATCAACCAATTATTATAAAATTATACGTTATGAATATTCATATCCGTGCATGAGCACGGGAAAATCACCTAGTTATTTAAAAAATAAAAACAAAAAGCAAAATTTCCGCTTCCGGGCGTTGAACCCGGATTTCAAGAAAGCGAGCAGAGCAGGAGCGAACTCCGATGTTCGAGTTTCAATTCGAAATAAACCAATGTGCTACAGCGGATCTTGCTTGTACAGCAAGTCAAATATAATTTATCTACTGAAAAACTCTCACATGGGACTTCTTAAAGCCTGTTACACTAAACACTTGATTAATCTCGTAAAGACTGTGTAAACCCATTGCTTGTGTAGAATGGTTGTGTTTAAGGGTTTGTTTTATTCCTACTTACCTGTTTTGTTGTTCTTGGATGTTGATGATGTTTTCTGGTAGATGATGGAGTTGTGGGTTAAGTGATAGTTGCGCCATTACAAGACACGCATAAAAACCCATTTGCTTGTATAATTTAAGTCCTACAAAGATGATAACATTTGTTAAACGCTCAATAACTACATCAAACCCCAAATACAATTCGATTGCACAAGCTAAGAACACATAAACACTGACTTCGAGGAGGAAACAGAGGCGGCGATCGAACCGGCTCAACCGGAAGGGAGAACCGGGAAATCTTTTTGGTTAAACCGATAAAAATCTTAGAACAGTAAAGCTCGCTGGCAAAGAAGAAATGAATAAAGCAAGTCTAAACCAGCTCCAACTCGTCGGAGAGTTCACATCATTATCTCGGCAGACATATTTAGTTAGTCGATCTTATTGTTTGAGCAAAGTTAGTCAATCTATATCACCATATGTATCTTTTAGTCTTGTGACGTTGTATTCTTCTCGCGGAAAAAATGGGAAATAGTTGCAAGTTTTGACCATTATGTGATGAGTCAGTAAATAAGCTAACAATCGAAGACTCATCTGCACAAGAAACTCAAAGTGAAGTTTAACGGACTTTAAAGCATGACTATCACAATTTCTTAAGGCGGTGTTTTTAGGAGAATATAAAAAATAGTTTCTTATGTTTTCCTAAAAACTCCACCCTTTAGCAACTGTGGATGATCATGCTCTTAGTTTTGTCTTTTAACTTTTGTTTTATGCAAATAATTAGATCAGTATTTCATTTTCTATTTGATAGGAAAAGAGTAACGTGAATCACTTTTCCATTATGCATTTGCTTTCATTTTGTAGGAACTTGTTGTTCCAATTTGTTTTCTATATAAATTAAAAGAAAAAAAAGGCAGAGAAATTTGCCTGAAAGTAACGTGTGTTCTAAGTTTTATTTGTGTTTTTGATCAACAATTATAACCTGCACGAGAGTTTTATCATTATGTCTCTGTATTTTACCCAAAACGGCCAAAAGGTTTGAATACTGCAGAACTGCTAATTTTCCAATGATGTTGGGAACAAATTATCATTTATAAAGAATTAAGGGGTGTCGCATGAAACCCTATTAGATCAAATAGATCCGCTTCTGGAGAGATCCCACGTTTGAGAGTGTAAACGCGTGCAGTTTTTCTATTTTGTCAACTGTCAACGAATTGCATGGTTTATAAAACTTTTACTGCGTCATCACCAACACCCACAATGGAAAACTCTAATGGAATTCTAGAAAATTAACTATAAAAAATGTTGTTATATTCAAATTTATAATATTTAAAATATTAATACTATAAATTATAGAGTATAAAATATAAATAAGAATAATTAGTTAATAAAATATTGTATATCAAACTCAATCCATACCTTTACTTTACAATCACGTGGATTAGAATTTATCTAAGACAAAAATTATCATGGATTGATCTAGGACTGGACATTTTATCCGTTATATTTGATTCGATTCGTTATTCGTTTCGATTCGATCCGAAAATTTCGGATATCCGTAAACCTTCAAATCAAAGCAAATACTAAAATTCAATATTCGTTAAAATCGAAGCAAATCACAAATAGTAAAATTTTGGGAAGCGGATATCCGATCCGATCCGTAAATATATAAATATATGTATATCTTTATTATATTTAACAATTTAAATGTATAAAATTATATAATTATTATTCTAGCATGTGATTTTGAACAATTTTATTCAAATTATTACTTATATAAAAGTATTACATAAAAAGAAAGAAAGAAAATTATGACAATTATATTTTTTTTCTTAAATTTTGTGTTATTATAATTGTAACCTAAGCTTAAAAAATTACAAAATATATAAATTCACTAGTTCTTTTAAGTTTTATTTTATATATCATGCAAAAAAATATTTTTTCAAAGCATATTTATATCAAAATCTTAAGATTATTTGTATTAATCATAATGGATGAGATATCCGTAATTATTCGTAAATATCCGCAAATATCTATTTATTTTCCCGTTTTTTCGGATATCCGTATTTTTTCGAGTCAAAGCAAATACCAAAATTAGATATCCGTAACATTCAAAACAAATCACAAATACCTTAAAAAAACCCGGATAACCAATCCGTGCCTACCCCTAAATCGATCCAAGTTAGACTTGAGAGGGAGGAGTGCTCCGTGCAAGCGGGGCCATACCAGGGGCGGATCTAGCAAATGTGACAGTCTGTGACCCACCATTTAGATAACAAGTCTTCAACCTAAGACCATGTGCAATGGAGGGAACATGAGAATCCTTAACTGCTGGTCCGATGGAGTATGCCTTTTTATAATATTATTTAATCCCAAATCACTAAGGATCAATACTAAAATAAGGATTTATTTTGGTTGATCCTTAGCCACGTGTCGCCTTTTGCTTCGTCCATGATAATGATTGCAAGAGAACTTCCTCTTACCTCTACATGCTGTCTGTAAATCGAAGGGTGACCATCGGTTCTATACCAAGTCATCTTCGTGATGTTCATGTAAAACACATGCGTTTTCATATCCGAGATCACTGATTCCACCACTCTCATCATCCATAGATACCCTCCTGTGTACGTCTCGTTCTCTATTGGTCTTGTCTCTCCATCGCATTGCCCTCCTGCGTTCCACGCCCCTTTTCTGCAGTTTTTAAAACAAAAAACATTGCCTGAGCTAAAACAAAACTCAGGCTAGAGTTTGCTTGGACTCAAAGGAACCTAATCTTACCCTAAATATTTGAAATAAATTTGGTTATAAAATTAACAATTGTTGTATACTCATATTTTATCATATAATAAATAAAATTTTAATTTTTAATTTTAAAAAAATAATTATTATTTTATTCCTAAGGA